CAGGACAGTACTCCTTGTACAGTGAGCAACTCCTAATTACAAAGCAAAAGAGTAAAGAATTAGTTTATTGATAAATTTTGGAAATCATGTTTCATTTTTCTGTACAAAATACTATATTGACACTTCTACCGATACATGGATAGCAGTGTTAATCACAAAATATTCTCAAACATTTGTTCATGCAATGATTACGATGTATGCATTCTGTGAAACGAACAAATCCTATTTGGAAGTAGAGCAGTCACTGAGTCACTTTTATCTAGTGGATGGAATATATTATCGTGATAGACGGTAGACGATATGAATGTAGATGATTGTGCGTCATGTTAAATAACCATCCATCACTTCAATGTTTTACCACAAAGAAACTCTTGTCAAGTTAAATTATGACGATATTTGTGATATTCATTACACAATTAATTGAATGTTATAATGTCGGTGGCACATTGGTTAGGACTCTCGCCGACCATGCACATGGGCCGAGGTTCGATCCCCTGCCGACGCACACCTGATATCTATGGTCGGCCTGTAAAATTTGGGCTACCGATATCATATGCTGAAAAGTCCATAACTGTACCAAAAATACTGTGTGGTTTCAAGGTCTAATCAAAAATCAAAAAAAAAATCAAAAAAAAAATTATGTCGAAAGTACTATGTAACCCTAGCAAACTGCTCATCGTTCACGGATGTTGATTCTAGACCAAGTTTCATCCTACGCTGTAATTACTGCTTCATAATTAACAATAATATATTCGAATAAAATTACATGTTCAAGGTTTGGTCTTTTAATGAACCCCGCAGCTGCCTCAGCAAATACCAAACACATAACAAAAAGTAGTGTCGTCAGCAAAACAAACAATCCTTTTTCATTCAGCGGTGGCAGCTTTAGAGCCAGAAAAACCGTGATAACCGACAGCACAATTGTCACACCCAGTGACACTAATCCAGCCATCAATTCAATGGGTCCCAACAATGCAGCAAAGCACACAGACCACATTGTAACCTGTAACAAAATGGAAGTAGAAATAACAATAATGGTTAAGTAATTGAAGTCTGATAAATGAGAATATGAAATACACAAAATATTGAGTAATCTGAAATAACATCTCGCTGCACATACAGTCAGCCAATCCGCTGGAAGCCATTGTAGAATGACTCTTCACTGCTGCTTAGAAATCGATACAAGAATGAAAGCCAGCTGAAGTATTCTCGTAAGTATTCATAATTCTGTATGAATCACCCGATGCTGTGGTATGTTCACAGCAGATCAGCAAGATTACTCATGGTAAGTCAGAAACAAGAAATCACATCATCTTATCACCGTATGGTCTAACACGCAAGCCTCAAGCTTTGGTAATGGATCCAAAGAAAGTGAAATAGCAGCAGCCATTTCAGATGAAATCATCGTCCACTGAGTGGCACTCTAGTCTGCAAGATAGGATGGGTCAGCAGTGTAAATGTTTACTTACGTATCTTAATTGATCATGTGGGTAGATTTGAAATAGTGAAGAGGAAAATGAGTGCAGTAAACAGTACAGGAGGTTAATTGAGTGTGTATTCCAGTGATTATAATTTTACAGTTGATAGTCAAGGAATAAAGCAAATATGTATCATACTAATTTCCATGCCTGGTTCGTTGTCCTGACTACGTCCATCTTCTAAAGGAGTTTATGTTTTATGTTAGTCAGCGACTGCCATAGTTGTCAAAATGAATGTATCGAATTGAAAACGTAAAATTGATATACAAAAGAATTACAGTCGCAAAGAACTGTAACCACATTTTAATGGATTTTGAATATGCTCACAAATCCTATTCATTTCTACACCCATTAATTTCATTGTGCATATATAGATCCCCTCAATACTTGACGCGTCAGCAAGACATATAATCCAACAGAAACACGACTGATAAGTTTGTGGAAGTATGCGATCAAATCTTCGTCCGAAAAAAATGCAATTTTGTTTATTTAAGGACCGTTCGTGACTCAGACATAATTTGACATTAGTTGTTATGAAGATAAGATGAGCACTTGTGCATACACCTTTGGTATTTTAAATTCTGTTGCTCTCCAATTGACTTACGAAGTGTTATGATTGTCTGTTTCAATATCACTGAGATTTAAATGAAAATATTTTTCACGTATGTCTTCTTTTCATCTCGTTCACAATTTCTGTGAAAAAATTCCGTGAAATGTCGATCAGTATTCATAACATCTATTCGAATAATGCTTGTGTTATAACATCTCTGAGCATATACTCATTAACATGAATAATAGCTTACTTCGCTTTACAGAAGCCATTGCTATCAAAAGACTTTAGCCCAACCTATGTATACAATACAAAGAGGTAGTTTGACTAATCTCTCACTTCCCTGCCTGGTAACTGTAATTGTTTTGATCTGTTGCGCAACATTCCACTCAATCTGAGGTGAACTCACTATTAAGGATGCAAATCTACTCAGTTGAATTATGTTATCTGTCTTATAATTTTGGTTTACTATTCACTGCCACCATCCTGAACTCTAAACCATAATATGTATCCATTAATTCTGTTCTTCTATCCTGTATTTTATCTCTAGTCCATCCTTGTTTCCCACACAAATTTGAATTCCACACCTGTTGTCTAATCACTACATAAACTGTTACTCTTTTAACACTGAATAATTGTCTACTTACATCAACCGTGAAATTATGCTGCCTATACTCTCTCTTCCTGTATATAACGTGAAATCATTGTAGAAAATAAGTTCAGAAATTCCGTGACACATAATGAAATGTTTTATTTAGGATGTACGCAGTAGAATAGAATCAACGAAATAAAATGAGCTCGCATTATTCTCCGAATTGTTTGTTATTATCTTTATTCGAAATAACAGTGTTGTGTTGTGAACCTAATAGGTGATTAAGTGAACGTATTTATGATGACTGCAAAAGATCACAGTTACCCTTCCTTGGTTCTGTTCGCAAAATGGTGTAAACTCTTACGGTACCAAGTAAGACAAAAATAAAAATGATACTCACTGTTAATCCAAGCAGTATGCTAACAATGAGACAGTGAGTTTGAAGCTTCTTCACGAATAGAAAGAGAAGTAGTGGGATGAAACCACATAGCCTAAAATGAATTCACAAAATATCGAACAACAATCTCTCAGTCATTACATACTTGATCAAAATAAGTTCACTATCAGATTACTTCATATCAAGCCGTAGTTGTCGAATAATAATGCGATAATCTTAGATGCATAGATTTAAGTGTAATAATATAGAAAATAGAGTGGAGGTCCCTATCTCCACACCCATCTTTATTTTCTCCAGTGGATGCAGAAATAGAATTCAACGAATTCAGTAGAACTTCACTTACAAATTCAATCTCTCCATGTGTAAATTCTTGAGGTTGTTAACATCGTCCTAATGTTCTTCATCCTTGCAATGCACTGGATGTACCAATTTCCAATTTCTTGCGTATTCCCATTACTGGAATTATATTGGTTGCGTCAGATATCAGCGTGATGAGTGAAGATCCACGTACCCACTGTGTAAACTGTTTTGTAGCACACTTATCCTTGTCTCATCCAGTTTCGTGGAATTGTCTTTATACATGCACTGCAGTGACTAGGTAACTTTTGGCGAAATTCTTCCTATGCAGATATATCATTGTACACCTAGCTCAATTCCAGTGTGCTGAATTAACTGATATGATATGATATCTTACTGCTAAGGACACTGAGGTTCACTGTACAGAGGTAGTTGTTTAGTCTGAGTGTGTCATCGAAATTTCTTTGTCCGCTGACTACATCATCTTTAATCTCTTCCTAATCTTCGTAGAATCAAACACACACACACGATTTCGAATACACACTGTACATATGATATCAGTTTTGACATCGTCATTTCTCTATCACTTTCATTGACTTTGCTTATTTCAAAATAGCTTCTTCCTGTCCAGTGAGTACGTATGAATCACCACATGATTTCAGAGTCATAGATATATAATAATGACAATTTGTTAGTTTTTGATTCTCTCAATAGGACGCTGAGTGCAGAAATTAACAATCTCTGTAGTTTTCTCATCTATTTGACCTAATCTGTCTCTTTTTGCATTCTGTGAGATGATCTTGATTGTGAGAATTTATTCGACACCATTCAGTACTCATCCTTCATGCTTTCGCTTCATTTGTGACTTGTGAATCTATCATGACAAATCACTCCGTATTATTCTTCCCACTCATGAGCTGATCTGGTTGCATGTATTATAGAACTCAGAAGTAAGAGGCATCTGAGACATCATGTATTTCAGATGAAGTCGAATTCTCCTCCAGCTATCTCCATCAACAAATTGAGGGTAATGAAATGCGAATAAATGCAGGTTGTTATGACCTAAAAAGAAAATATTCGGAGGGCTTAGTCGTGTAACGCTAGAAGACGTAGGACTTGGCAAAGGAATGTTTATTTGCGATTTGGTATCTCCATATAGCCAAGTAATATACTTCTTATCTTCAAATCAACATTTGCACAGATCTTCCCTGCTGTGCTACTTCTGCCTTCATTTCATTTTGTGTTTCTTTGAGTTCCTTTCACGTCTCCCATATATCTCCGCAACATGGGATCGTTTTCTTTCTCTGACATCAACTCTGTCTACCTGCTATCTGATGTTTAATGCCGTTGAACATTTCTTGTGTGAATATGTATGTATATATACACTACTGAAAATTCGTGTCAGTAGCATACGTACCAATCAGACTGTTTACAGAATTTATTCTAGAGTAACTTGAAATGATTTTGAGGAATACGCAAGAGCTCACATTATAGTCAGTGAATGAATGAGACAATATCCCTGTGTTCTGTGTAAAATATAAATTCTTCTCACTCTACAGTATGTCACATTTCTGACTCCAAAGTTCTTCAGGTAGTGTACATACAAGATATAAGTTAATTGTCATTTCCAATGAAATACATTTGCATATTTAGACAAAAAATGTTCAGTCATGTTGAATAATCAACTTACAAAAAAAAATATTTCACAAATTCAGGTTTCATTAAGAATTCACGAAGTTTTGGTCTACAAGACAAATGCAAGTTGATTTTAATTTAAGCTTACATTGAGCTCAACAAAATGACGATTGTAACTGTTATCAACACCATCCATGTGATGTCGGCGGCGAGCTAACAACGAAAATCAGTTGAAGAAAGCATAATTTCCTCACCCAAATAACTTGTTTCACAGAGAATGGCTGTCCTACCAGATGTCCACGTTTCAAATTCTTGTTAGATGTATAATTACGCGCCATAGTCGCATCAGCTGTATTCATTTTCATATTTGTGCTGACAAATGAAGGTAGTAACAAAATTTGAAAAAATAAATGACACTAACACAAATATGACAAATTCATTGCAATAAAAGTATTCCTGCGTGAACTGACTTTCACGTTGCTTGATGAATTATTCAAAATCAATCAGAAAATGGCTTTTTGCGAAGATGGTGAAATGTTATACCTAATCGAATTCGGAGATTAACGGTTACCTGTGTTGTGTAAGTATTTCAGTAGTAGAACGCTTACCATCCCTTTACATGGTGTAGGGCTCGATTCTCGCCCGACCACTCCTTAACCTCTTTAAGCCAACTGCAATGCCAGTATGAAAAGAAGTTTAGGCGTGAGACCAACATCCACAACTAGTAAGCACCAAACCACTGACACTGAAACTTCAAGGATTAGTGAACAGCTCAATTCGATTCACTATCTTCAGTAACCAACTCAGTCATCTTCGGTTATATCTGAAATAATGGAAACGAAGAATCCAAATCGTTATGCTTCCATTCTTATAACTTGGCTTCGTCTTAACTGTCAGAAGTGGTGAAACGCTATTAAACCATAATTTTGCAAATTTAATAAGGTTTCAATGCATGTCAGGGGGCGTTTACAATGAAGCCTGAAAAATATGCAGCAAATGAACCGAATTACCCTAAAACGGTTTCAATATCAAGTAATAAACGCATCATTTTGGCTGACACAACTTAAATCAGGCTGTAATTTCAATCCAAATCAGTATGTACATGTCGACTGTGTATGTTTATTGAACCAAATTGATTTTTTTCCTTCACCTTCCCCAGTGGAACATAGATCTTCAAGCTAGTGCCTTGAAGTTTCTGTAGCAGTGTTTATTTTACAGGATGAATTTGCTAGCCTCATGCCCAACCTTTCCTCTTCAGCATTATTTCTAGCCAGGCGATGTGAAGGAGTGCGTCGGCTTGGGGTCAAACCCCGGACCATATGCATGGTAGGCGAGCTTCCTAACCGCAATGCCACCGACCATCGAACCACAATAATTGAGCAGTGTCAGTTCAACTTCCCTCAGCCAAAATGAGCATGTTAGATGAAAGAATACAAAACCAAGACTGATGGTCCGAATTTTTAACACTGATGTCATTTCGCCGCTTCTCTATATTATTCGGAGACGATATGCACCAATGAAACCATTTCTAATAGACTGTAGACTTTCACTGATAGCTACCCTCAATGGATACTGAAGATCAATCGGGTCGGCACTAAACATAAACAACAATGGACGCTGGAACAACACGAAACATTAAAGAAGTTGTCATTCAAGAAGAAGATAGAAATGAGTCAGGCATAACGTGAGGAGTCCATCAAGTGACATCAGAAAACAAGCAGGCCTTCTAGTGGGAAAACAAAGGAAAAAATGGAGGAGACTGTGAAGATGAAATCTGCTAGGGATTGGTGAAACTAGATGAATCTGATAACAGAGAAACGGATGCAATGAAGGTGAATCGCTTAAGCCCTAAATTCCATTCAGAAGACATGGAATAAATAATTCTAATTAGAGCATAAAAAATAATTATAACGATGCGTCGGTGGTACAGTGTTTAGGACTCTCGCTGACCATGCACATGGTCCAGGGTTCGACAACCTTTCGACGCACATCTGATATCTAAGGTCGGCCTGCAAAATTTGAGCTACCGATATCACATGCTGAAAATTCCATACCTGTACCAAAAAAATACGGTGTGGAATCAATCTCTAATCAAAAAAATTAAGCGTGTTTTGTAAATGTTATTTAAACTGCAATCATCATCTCATTATGAAAATCAATCAACGTTCTACAGTCAATCAAAAATGAACCATTGCCAGGAAATTAAATAACAGTTAATTAAACCTACAGAACGTAGCTCCTCTCTTGTAATCTCTCAGCTAGAATATGATCACGTATTTGTGCATATATATTCATCAAAACTGTCGATAATTATCATTACCTTATTGATTGTTCATAATGCTTTATCTTTCTCAATGTGTTATCACATCTCGCATCAAGTGGTTTCAGTCATAATCATCCAGTTATGTGCGTTGTGTATAAATGAATGTCGCTTAACACATTAGTGTAGTACTAACACACACAAACAAAATCTGTTGACGAGTGTAGTTATGAGCTAGTTCTTTCAAATCGAAGGTACCATTCAAAGTGCAAAGGTTTCACATCGAAATTCAAGGACTAAGTCACCTAACAAACAGACATCGAGAGTAATTAAAATAGATGAAACATAGAAAGAAATACATGAATTATGAAAACTGAAACAAAATAGTACGATGTGCTATATACTACTGAGTGATGGATTCAAGTAAGTGCCAACCATTCATGTTGAATGGAAGTTACTGCTGTCCAGATAGGACCTGAGGCAACTATTTTAGTTACATATACAACTTTTGTGATGAACATTCCTACAGAAGGTTCTAGGTTTCTTAAGCTGCTTTCATTCGCAAAAGTGTAAGAAGAAGACTACGTTTGACATGTAAATGGCGTTGATTTTAATTTGTGAGTGCTGAATACAATTATCAAAATCAAGCACCTCATCTACTTGATAAACAAGATTCATGGCATGATATCCTCACGTTGAGGTATATTAACAAGGCAAGGTGGGGAATACCCTAAAATATACCGATGATATCAGACTCTTAATTCCGACACTAATATGAGGGAAGTGCTTCCATTTGGTTCAGAGAATTAATACGTTCGTTGTGCGAATTTATTCCAACAGGCCGGAGGCTAATGACAACAGCTGCTTTCCCTGGATCGATACAGAAGAACAGAGGGCCAGCAAACATTAGCGATATGGGACAATAAGGGGGGGGGGGAAATGATATGAACCAATTTGTTAAATTCAAGACCACTAAGAATCTTTTTGTAGTCTGAACACTAACTACTAAGCAATCATAAATAATTCATCAAAGGCATATTGTTTCTTGGAGTCCATGGGACGGTAGGAACAAGTGAGTGCTGGAGACAATTGTTGACATGGCTGATAATCATTCACAATGAGTAACACAGAAGCATTCACTCTTTGTGATTTATCATATCCAATAAATTGCTTTCTCCTTCCATATTACTATACCTTTACCTCACTCACACTTCTGTCTATTATCTCTCCCTCTGTTCAATCACACATTGATCTCTCTCCTTTTACTTTGTGTGCTGAATGCAGAGAGAGAGGGAAATACAACTCGGGCACATTTGTGCAAGGTAGTTTGTGGTGATTGACAATTCCCATCACTATTGTTTAAATGCTTACTGTTGTTTGTTAATATTTATTATATGAATTACAAATAATTCAGCCAAGTACAAATTCGTAAATTCATCCCTCTCTGTGTTGTTGACTGATTTCCTGTAATTCGGTCATTGCGAAATACTACTATTACAAATAACTATAACATTTCTTCGTCGCCAGGGAATTAAATAATCTTCAAAAGCATCCTATGAATGGTTCAACGCGAGAAACTGCTGATTATCTTGAATGCTTCGACGCATGGTGCATGTGGAAGAATGTTTGCAATGACAAAATTTCAGCTCATTTTGTTACTGCAATTAGGTTAGATTCGTACGGCCTATTAAAATCTCTGTCACTGCCAGATAAACCAATTTCTCTGTCATATAATAAACTCCGTGAACGTCTAACAGATTACTTCTTAATAACAAATTTCGAAACACGACAGAAAGCTCAGTTCAACAAACCTAATCGTGCTCCCAACCAAAAGATCAGAGACTTTATTCTTCAGCTACAGATACAAGTTTCAAAGTGCAATTCTGGAGATCAGCTCCATACTCAACTACGCGATCGTCTAATTGCTATGATCGATATTCTGAAGTAGGAGAAAGAGTTGATTCAGATGCCTTCCTGCATCATTCAAACTGCTATGGATTTATGCATTAAATATGAAGATATCAACAGCTGCCACTATATCGGTGTCTGATGTCATGTTGTCCAAAGTTGATAATACAGGTTTTCATAAAAATTAATCTAGCGTCATTGACATATGACGGAATGCAGACAGAAAGCAAAACATCAAACCATGTTTTTCATGTGGAAAAATTCATCTACGAAGCACATGCTGCTTTTGGGATGCTAAGTGCAATAAATGTGGTAAAATTGGCAACAAACAGTCTGTTTGCAGAAGTTCAAATACTTGTGCTACTGATGATTCCCCCAATGTGTCTGGTAAAATGCAGTCAAAGACTCTTTCAACTTTTCACAGTAATGGATCTCATCTAATGAGAACCTTCACTACAAGTTCAGGCAAGGCTCACTCTTTTATAATTGATACTGGGAGTACTGTGTCTATAATTTCTAAGAAGGATTTACGATCGCTTTGTAAGCATGCCCAGGAAGACCTGACTACTAGTTCCACCACAAGCATTACTGGTCATAAGCTTCCTCTTATTGGTACTACTAATATTGATTTGAAATCAGACAGTGGTAGTTTTGTGAATATCCCCTTTCTTGTTAGTGAATATGGTACATCATTAATGAGATCAAAAGTCCTTAGATTGTTGAATTTCGAAATCGCACTCTGCACTGAGTTGTTTGATGAATCTTTGTTCAAAGTATTAGTTCTCAAATGTCCAAGGTGTTTAAGTGGCATGAAGATTCACCCAATTCATCTGGAAATAGAATATGATCCTGTCTTCCTAAAGCACCGATTAATTGCATATGAATTGAGAGATGCAGTTAAGAAAGAGTTGGACAAGTTGTTTGAGCAGAGCAAACTTGCGACAGTTGAATCTTCGAATTAGGCCACTTTCACTGAAGGCAATCGGGAAAACACCGAGAATTTGTGGTGACTACCGCCTTACACTCAGTGGTTGTATACTACATCAAAGTCGATCTACACTAGAAATCGAAGGCATTCTCTACAAGCTGCATGGCTCAAAATGCTTTCCAAAAATAGATCTCAAAGATGCTTATTTACAGATTCCTCTTCACGAAGTTTCTAGTGCACTAACAACCTTAATACTCCATTTGGATTGTTCAAGTA